ACAGACATTAAAAACAAAGACTGACTCATAATTCCTTGAGATTATCCACATTTAAGCTTCATATAAAAAAATAGAAAAAAGTTTAAAATAAATGTTTAATCTCTAAGGAAGCTATGACAAATAAGCAGTTTTGAAATAACTAAATTTAGTTTTCTCACTAAATGGCAAAACAGCTGAATATAATTCCTAGTTCCAACAAACTATAAAAATTGCAAGACATATAATATAATAGAAATTCTAGTAAAATGTCTATATTGTAATTACTTAGAAACGTGATTCTAGTTTAATGTTTATATTGTAATTACTTAGAAACGTGATGAGGTAACTAGCCCCTTCTTAGTAAATATTCCATGAGAATCCAGTGAAAACCGCATGATTTTATCGAAATGTAAGTTGACCTATAAAGTAGTAACTCCGCAAGATAATACTTATAGAATTGCTGACAAAACTGTTTAAGTTTATAAGGGTATTACGTATATTCTAAATACAGTCAAACTTACATAACTCGAATTTCCTAAAATTTGAGCTAAATAGGAAACTTTAACTCGAAGCCTCTATAAGTCGAACCTTTTTTATGTAAAATGGTACTACGTGTTATGGATGTTTGACTGTATTCCTCATCTCCAAGTTATTACGCTACGAACCTTACGTTATTACGTATCATTTTAGTGAATTAGATGTGAATAGTATTCAAATGAAGAATTTCGAATAACTGAATACTTAAATCAAAAGTGACAAAAGTAATACTAATAAATTACAAATGGCTATCAGTTATTTAAAAGACTACAAGGAAACATTTTTTCAAAACAATCTATATAAAAATATTAGTTACTAAAATTCAAATTTTGTGTATGTAATTAATAATTAGCTAGACAATTCCTTCGCAGTAAATTGTTTTTCAATTAGAGAGTATTTAGGTTGTATAGATATGTTTAAAAAAGATTTTTTTTTCGTTAGAAATAATCAGATAACTCACATTTAAAGAATGAATTTTCAAATGCCTGACTACCATACGCTCTATTTATAATACATTCTAATTATAATCCAACTTATATCCCTACAAATATCTATCGCATCAAATATAGAAGTTCGAACCAGCATTAAATATCGATATATTTTAGTTCTATAATTATTGTAAATATTTTATTTTTTGTTTTATATTTTAAACTTTAAAATACAAAACATTATATATACCATAACATTATATATACAAAACTTATTTTTATTGTATTAAAGTAACAATTTTTAAAAAGAATATATAAAGCAAAGCATCTTTTATTAAATTAATTTAATTGAAATAAAAACATTTTTGTCACAATAATATTTTTTAAAATAAAATAACTTGTTATGTATATACTTATATAAAAAAACTTGATTTCATATAAAAAATTATAATGTACGAAACAAAAAACAATTTTACTTTTTGTATAATCAGTAAAAATATATCTAAATAAAACGATTAACAAAATTTGTTCACAAACAACGAATTATGCAAATTAATAAGTAATTTAAAATAAAAAAGATTTTTTATTTGGAAAGAAGAAATTAAATTTCACATTAATACAGGGTCGCGGTCATCGTTAATTTAAAATTCTCAAAAGAAAAAAACATTTAAATTACAAGCATTTGTATGCAATGATTGTCACACTATAAACATTACATAGTTTTAAAAACATGATCTACTGCACGTGTATTCGACCATTTTAAATCATATAAACACATATTATGGTATCGATTTATAAAGGTTATAGAGCACGTTTACACTCACGCAATTACTTAAGAAATGTGCAGCTATATGTGTTGTTTTTCATATAAAATCTATACAAAAATGAGCTAATTATTATTCGATAATTGTAAATGTAAACATAGCATTAATCTTTATTGTTTACTGAATACATACATACATATATTGGTTTCTGTAGAACAAGATATAGAGCTAAATAATACAACATATTACGCTTGTCATAATTATCTTTGTAGAACATGATCCTAATGATATATATAGAAATATGGAATTATTTAAAAAAACATCAATAAAGGATTTTTTAAATTTTATTGGAATAAAAAGTGACCTATAGCCAGCAAATAAATAAAAAAAAATTATTATAAAATACAGGTCGATAAACAAATTTAAAGTTTAATTAGGTTAATGAAAGAATATAACATCCCCAGCCAAGAATATGTCGGGAATTAATTAAATGACATATATCATTTAATTAACTATATCATTAAATACCATATATCATTAACCAGAAATGTCAGATATACATATATATAGTACCTTGGCTGAATAAATTTCTGTTCTATCGCTTTCGGGAATTCCTTTTTCATTTAAAACCCGAAACAAAAGAGGTTGAAAAAGTGAATCATTTACAATTGAATTAAAAATTGCTAAGTCCAACAATTTATTGCAGTTTGACTATAAAAAAGAATATACATGGTTAAACTGTTTTCTATAACAGAATGTTTGAAAGGAGATATCACTACTTGTGAGATTTACATAATCAGGAATGCTTGTGACTTTATTATGCTTTACACATTATGCTTTGCTACACTGAGAACTTTCACCCTATTTTATTCCATTTAATTATTACTTCAAATAAAAACTTAACGTTTCAAACACCATAAACTGTAGTAGCCTATTCTCTCTGATAAATAACACGACCGTTTTTGAACTGTCTTGCTTCTTGTTAAGCTAAATGGTTTCAGTAGTTATTTTTGTAAAGTAGTTGGTTGCAAGTAATATACATACGTAGCATCAAACGCAAAATAACTAAAAAATAATGTTACAAGAACTACAGCTTAAGCGCCAGTTAACAGCACTAAAGAAAAGAAAAACGGTAATGATTTTGTAATATTTCTGGAGGATCAATATTAAAAACAGAAAATTTTTACCAACTTAGAAAAACTAATTAATGATATTATTTAATATTTTTAAATTTATTAATTCAATCATTTAATTAAAATAATTCATAAATTTTCTTTGGGATAATCCATAGAAGAGATTACACGTCGTCTAATTTATATTGTTAAGCAAAACATATTATTTCGACATATGTAAATTAAATTAAAAATTTACTTATCATGTTGGTCTGCTTTATAATAATAGGAATTACATAGAATACTTTAATGATCATTATCATAATACCTTGAAGTTAACCAGAATTTAGTATTTGTTGTGCTTAACCTTTGAGATATAAAAAGGCAGAGTGTCACGTAGCAAAGTTAAGTAACATATGTAGATACATATATATAAGCAAATTTAAAAATAGAAAAAAAAGACATGCAGAATAATCTTTTTAATATATATATATAAATATATATGTTTACATATATACAATATTATTTTTAAACATTATTATATTGCTTACTAATAGTTAGCTATATATTTAAAGAGCTGTTTCAAATTACAACAGTAAAATGAGTCGTACGAAAATATTTTGTAATAAAAATTAACATGTAAATAATGTAAAATATTTGACGAAGTAATAAATAAGTTCTTTATATAGAAACATATTAACTAAATACGTAAATATAATAACAGAAATAATACATTCCAAGCAACAAAACTACACGAACTTCTAATAGAATAAAACTTAGACAGGTATCGGCAATCAAAACTTTTATTTTGTAGTAAAATTATAATAATATGGTAACTGCACTTTTGAGGTCAGCGATCAAAGAGTTGTAGTTGAGAACAAATTGAATATTTATTAAAATAAAAAGTAAATAAATAAATAATTTGGAAGAGATCTAAATTATTTGGGGTCTCTATTCTTACCCACTTCACAAAGTTGTTATCATTCAAAATTAGGGACTTTGTCAAGTTTATAGACTTGCTAGATTGGTTTACCTTTACTTGAATGGAGAAGTCTTGTCTTTTGGCGTTCTTCATATGCTAACCTCTAGTTTGTGTATGAACAGTGTTAATCCGGGTCATTAGTTATGCTCAAGTAGGCTTAGGCACAAGGCCGCTATTTCAACCTTGCCTGACCTAAATATGTTAACAGGAATAATATATCTTAAGCAGCAGAAGCTGCTCTATTAGATGACAAAAAAAATTTGTTTTATCATTTTCGGTTTCAGAGGATTACATGAACAATACATGAACAAATTCATAGAGGTTACGGTACCGTTCTTACTGCTATATAAAACAAGAATTGCTGCAGATGTACATTTTAAGATTTTATACAAGATTCATGAAATCTTTCATATTGGATTGCTATAGAAACTCAAAAAACAGTTACACTTTCCTTTGTCTTAAAATCGTATAGAAACGATCGTCACTTTATATCCAAAATATATGAGGAAATATATTAACAGGAATGATATACCTAAAGCAGCAGAAACAAAAGTATCAAGTATATATCAATAGTACCTTAGGTAACAAAATCGCTGTCCTATAATTTTCGGTCTCAGAGAATTACATGAACAATTTAATAAATTTATAGATGTTACGGAAGGTATACTGCATATATGAGTTATTCTTGTGTGAAGTATAAGATTCATGAAATCACTCATTATGTACTACTTTATAATCTTAAAAAGCTAGTACCCTATCCTATCCCTAGTATAGTAACGACCGCCAATTTGCATTCAAAATAAATGAGAAAATATATTGTTAGGAATGATATGCCTTTAGTAGCAGAAGAACGACAATTTCTGTTGAAATTGGAGCTAGAATGAGAACAACTATTCATTCTTCTTTAAATAGTTCAAATAATTGGCTCTCTCTTGTATATAAGGTATACTTTGCTTTAATATTAATTAGGATATATTAAACTAGATATTTATAATATTCTGTTTATCACCAGACTTCAAATAGATTAGTTCTTTCTTGCATTTTAAGTATACTTTTCCTTATGATTAGTTAGGATAAATTAAACTATAAATTTATAGTAATATGTTTAGTGAACTGAAAACAATGTATTATATTCATTCGCTATGCAAATTTTGAAGTAATAAACAGATAAAAAATAAAAAAGATTTTATAAACTCACCTTTCTGTTGCGAATCAGTTTAGCCAAATCCACAGCGGGTATTTCCAGCAGATGACTACGTATTGGCGGCAGCTTTTTACGGTTCACTTTGATGTTGGTGAAACGGCTGTAGGGTACAACAAACCAACTGAAGACGATCATGGCCGACCGCAGAAAGCGCCGCATGATGTACCCCATAATCCTGGAACAAAGTAGCACAGCAATTTTGGCGATTTTTATTAAAACTGGGTCACGAAAAAAATATATATATTTCTTTTGTTTTTTTTTTTTTTGTATTTGTATTTAGCAATTTAATTACTGCTAGATTTAATAACTTAATAGTTATTAATATCTGGCTAAATATACTATTTAATTTTATATTTTATGGTAATTTCCTTTCTTCAATTTGAATTATACTTGAATATTTGTATTGTGAAGCATTGTAGGGATATAACACAGACACACCACAGACATAATTGCAAGATCGTTTTCGAGCTGTTGTGAGATACACTGCAACACACTTGCTTGCTGTTAAGGGATTGTGCAATATGCTACATATGCTGCAACCGTTGGAGATTGAAATAAAAATACGTTGTTGTTGTTGCACTTTTGCTGTTGTTGTTGGTTGTGCTTTTGCCAACTTGCACAATTTACAACTCCAGTTGGCTTTAACAGCCAGCCAAAAGTCAAAAAAAAAAATAGGTATGCGAAGATCGGCCAGCACAACTTCTGACACACAAGTGCTTTGAGCGCAGGGAACGTTCAAGCGACGATCGCTGAGCAAGTGTTGCAGTTCCTGGCGATTTTGTTGCCAGTTGTAGGCAGCAGCAACAAATATGTGTTGTGAGTTTTGTTGTAAGTTTACTAATTGCTTCGATTTGTTGTTTTTTCTTCTTTATTAATAATTTTTTTTAGTTAAACACATTGCTTTAGGAATTTTTTGATTCGTTTATGAGTGTTGAGTTTATCATTTTATTTTTTTTCTTGTGCCACATTTTTTAACTTATAAGTGCAGTTAAAAATACAATTCAAGTTGTAGATTTGAACACCAAACATTTTGTATCTTTTATGGTCTGCAGTAAATGCCTTAAGCACCTTAATTGCTAGCTTGTTTTATTATTTACATTGTTTTCTTTTTTAAGAATATCTATGAAAACCATTTAATTAATTTTTTTTATATGTATATATGGTATATATATTTATTATATATATTATTAAAAAGTAATGTTTTAAAATTGTTTACATAAATGTATAATTAAAATTATTTTCAACGCCTTGGCGGTTTTCTCATTAAAATCTCAGCGTTTTAAAATAAACATTTTTAGTTAATTATTAAATATATTTTCTCTTTTGATATTTCATTATTTTGCTTTTGCAACTGCAAAATTTTATGCACAATTTAACACAATTTGATGCAATTCTTTTTCGTTTTAAAGAAACCGAAGCTGAAGTTTTGAAACAAACCATAAAAGAAACGCTTTCAACCGCACGCGGCGTCACAACCTCAACGCACGAAATACGCTGTACAAATAAAATAAGCGACTTGTTTGCAAATACATTTAAGCGCGACTCTCTTCATCGAACCCAGCACAAAAAATCTATATGGGTTTTGTTTTGTTGTTGCAAGTTTGCAATTCGCAAAGAAAAAACTTGTTCAGTTAACGAACATTACGTATACGAAATGATCTGAACTAATTACTTCAAACCTGTCCATACTGCTTCAAACAAGTTGTATGTAAAGTTTTACTCGTTTACTTAAAACCTTTTTTAATTAATTTTATAATCCAAAGTTCAAAGCATCGTCCATTCAGTGTTAACTCAAACACCGAGTTTTCGTTGTATACTGAAGCAGCTTAAATGTAAGTTCGATTTCGATTTTCAACAGAAGTTCCAACATGTTTGAGTTCGAGGTTACGAATGCAAAATGCGCAAAAAATTTACTTACAAACATGTCTTTTATTGTCTTGAGATTAGCTTAGCTTAATTATGCCTTATCAACATTGTTTCCGTTTTAAAGTTCAATAAAAAAGTACCCAACAATTATATGAGAATAAGGTACATATTACCTATATTTATTCTAGTAAAATTTGCAATTAGTTTTCGTGGTGGGTAATGAGTAAGTTGCAAAATAAACTATTATATACAAACTTAACTTTTCTATTACACTTTATTGAATGGCAAACTAATTAGTGTTGGGATTTTTATATCAATAAAGCAGATTCTTAGAAGCATCCCTGGCGAGTGAAAACGCAGACATATTGGAGTTGATAAAAATTATATACCATATATACCACATTATATCATACATATTATACCATATTATGAAGTTTATAATATGGTATATAGGGGATTGCAGATAGGTTAGGTTGGGTTAGGTTAGGGTGCGTGCTGGCAATTATCAACACTATGACAGTTATCAACACTCGGGGGCATATATTACCCATTATAATGCCCTCAAAGATTTTGCCGTAATGGACGAGTTGCTAACATTCTTCGTGTACTGCAG